GTTACAGCTGTGCCTTGCCCCCCTTTGCCCGCAGCCGGGGGCAGGCCTGGCTCCCTGCGGCGGGGAGGGGGCTCGCCACAGCCGCCTGATCACTGTGACACGAGAGCGGGGATCTGCAGGCACGGAGGAGACTGGGGCGGGGTGGCACGTCCTGAGCCATCCCCATGGGACCCACGCATCCCCATGCAACCACGAGAGCTGCTTCCCATCCCTAAGCTGGTTTTAACAGGGCCTGATCTTAAAAGCAGGGGCAAGCTGCGCCCTGCATTGGCTTGCTGGAGGTAGAAGGAGGCCTGTGGGAGACGGAGGCGAGTGGGGTGCCCCGTGCTCTCGGCTTGGGGGCAGCAAAGGTGAGGTGGTGGCGGAGCTGGGCGCAGCGAGCAGTAGAGGAGAGGGGGAAGCAAGGCGTTTGTGCTGGGGTTGTGCTGTGTCTTACTTCCCTTTCTGGTCTCTTCAGGGTTTTGTATGGGTTTTTTCTTTGCAGATCTTGTTTGGTTCTTGAACAGACATGTATATATTTTGAGTGCAAAATTCTGTAAATGAAAGAAAACAAACAGATTTAAAACGAAACGCCCGGCGCGAAGAATCTGCTGTATTTATGGGAAATAAAGAGTTCTTTCCTGATCCTGACCCCAGAAATGCATCTTCCCCTCGCCTTCCCTGACCACGGAGGAGCTCATTCCACCCTGTGAAGGGTCATTTCCAGTTCAAATCCTGCCCCTGCAATCCTGTAACACGTCCCCCAGTCACCCGGGGCCTTGCCACCGTGGTTTCCCCACTCCATGGGTGGGGGTGGAAGTCCCCCAGCTGCTCTCAATTCCTGTTTGAGAGCAGAGTTGCTCCCAGGCTGGGAGCCAGCTGCTGCCCGCTTCCCTCCCTCTCTCCCTGGGGCAAGGCCGTGGGCAGGGGTGGGTGCCCCACAGCCTGCAGGGAGCAGGGCTGGAGCTCAGGCTGTGCCCCACACCGTTGTTTGCAGCTTCACCGCTGCCTGTAGCCGCACTTCCTCCTCTTCCTCAGGGCTGCCTCTCGGAAGCAGCTCCCCAGGGCAGTTTCAGTGCAGGGAGGGGGGGGGTCTGCTCCAGCAAGCAGCAGTCTGGGGCTGGGAGCGGGGTCTCTGACATAGCATGGGAGGAAAGAGGCTACGGCTTTGCCACCACCCGACCCAGCCAGCAGGGATGGGGGGAAGACTCATCTGCATCTTTGCAACAGATGCTTGAAGCCCTTGCCTGCTTTCAGCGACCACAAGGCCTGTGAGGAGCACGCCCAGGGCTTGCGGCTGGGGGATCAGGCGTGCTTGGCCACAGGTTTAGAGCAACCTGGTGTTCAGGCAGGGAGAACAGTGCTTGCTTGCTCAGGGCCTGCTTGAAAACAGAGGTCCAGCACTGCTTTGCTACACACTCCCTGGAGACTTGCCCACCACCACCACCACCAAGAAGGAGCAGAGCCAGGCAGCCACCGAATTATTGCTCCTTAGGCTTCAGGGCACAGGTGGAGTGGCCCTTCCGCCTCTTCTTCCTTTGCCGCTTGTCTCATCTGCCCACAAGCTGACCGCTTCCCGTCTGGGCTCGGGTGTTAGTTCCTTTGCCAGCCACGTAACCCGGCCGGCAGCAACCTTTGCTTGGTGCAGAAGGAGGAAAGTCACAGCTGCAGGTAGCCCAGAGATAAGGCGAGGTTTACATCTTGTAGAGCCAGGAGCAAAGGTGGTGGTAGTGGTGGCGATGGTGGTGGTGGCGGGGTGAGGGGGACATTCTTAGACCAAAAAAAAAAAAACACAAAAGCAAGCTGAGCCCTGGTGCAGCTCTGCAGAGAGCAGGCAGCACCCGAGCCTGGGAACCGGGAGTTTGCGGTCCCCGTGCAAGTGTGCACGGGTGCTGCTGCTCTGTGCTTGGCCCAGCCGCCCCGCTCGGAGCCCTGCCAGCAGCGGGGGAGCGGGGAGGGGGCCTCTCTGGGGCATGGAGAGGCCCTGGCCACAGCCTTGTGGTGGTTCCGGAGAGCCTCAGCGATGGCAGGGAGGGAAAGCGGGGTGGGGGTACGGGGGGGGTTGCATGGGTGGATTTGCTGCTCACCCCCTGGCTTTTGTCCTGGCAAGGGGGGAAAAAGCACAGCCGGTGGTGGGCAAGGCGAGGCGGGGAAAACCACCCCAGCTGAGGCAGAGAGCAAGCAACAGAGCGTGGGCCCTTCGCTCAGGCTCGGCAGCGGCGGGGGCTTGTCCTGCCTTGTTACATGCTTGCTGCAATAATATTTCCCCTTTAAGGCTGGGCTGAAGTTATTTATACTTGTGGGGTGGTGACAGGAACACAGAGCGGAGCAGGAGCCCTGAACTGCTCTTACCTGATCTGCGGCAGAGAGGCGGCCGGAGGAGGAAGGAAGCTCAGAAAAAAAGAGAGGGAGCGAGAGAAAGGAGTTGAAGGGAGGGGAAGAAAAAGCAGGCAGGGCATCCCCAGGGAGGGATCAGCCAGGGAAACAGAACACGGGGGAACGAGGGAAGGAGGAAGGAGAGGAGTAAGGAGGCAGAGGTCCTCAGGAAAGCAAGGGGCAGAGCGGCTCCAGGGAGCCAAGGAGCCGCTGACGCCCGATGCCAAACGTCACCGAGGGGTGCTGAGCAGGTACAGCCGAGCGGAGCGGCTCTTGTGGTCTCCTCCCGGCTCTCAAGATGATGAAGAGGCAGTTTAATCGGATGCGGCAGCAGCTATCCCATCCCAACATCACCGGCCGGTAAGGACTGCTCCGCTACCTGCGCTGGAGGGCTGGGAGGGAGCGGGATGCGGGTCCTGGAGGGCTTGCACTGGGGCTGGACCAACCTCCCAGGGCCGGTGGCCAGGGAAAAGGGGAAAGGAGGAATGGCCCTGGGTTTAGAACATCTTCAGTGTAAGCCAAGGGGCTGTGGCTCCCCAGCTCCCCGGCACCCGCGGGGCAGTGGGAAGGCTGCACTGGTGCTGCTCAGCAGGGACATGGTCCCCATGCCCGGCTACCTCTCCCAGGGCCCACAGATGCTGTGCCCACCTGGAAAGGGGCCTTTCCTGAGCTTGGCTTCCCAGGGATGTGAGGGCAATGGGGAGGGACGTTCCAGCCACATGCTCTTGGCTCTGTGGAGGGTGTTAGGAGCTGGGACCTGCCCTCCTCACTGAGCCTGAGGTGCTTCACAGGAGCCAGATGCCCTGCATAGCTCTAGCCAGCCCTCCAGTGCGGGCGGCCCAGGACAAGGAGAGGACCAGGGATCCTCAGAGGAGCCATGGAGGACCTACAGCTTCACACAAATTCCTCCAGCCCCATCCTACCTCTGCTGCTTCCTTATTTTTCTCTTTGGCTTTCCAAAGCTCTCCCCTTGCAAAACCCAGAACTGAAATTACAGGGCTGGGCCCTCCCTTCCCAGCCCCCTCGCTCCCTCTTTCCTACAGCCACCTCCGCAGGTTCTCCAGTGCTGGGAGGCTGAGCAGGACCAACCGTGTCCCCTGGACAACTGAGGTCCTTCAGCCAGCCCAGCAGACCAGCCACAGGGAAGCAGCTCCTACATCCTAGTGGCCTCTTGCTCTTCTTGCATTCCCCAGAAGGAAGCATGATCCCTTCTCCCATCCCTCCTCCCTCAAGATGTCTCATCTCCATGTTGGATGCGCCTCCCTTTCATTTAATGCCAGGCAGGCAGGAGGTTTCAAGCAGCTCATGCAGTCCAAGAGCAAGTTCTTCACTCACTGCAGAGCCTCTCCTCTGTAGGCTGCACTCTCACGTGATTTTGCTTGCCTTCAACCAAGCCGCCCCCGTTTCCTGCGGTTCCACGGCCTCATCCCGCATAGGCTGTGGCAGGCGGTGAAAAGACAGAAACATGAACTGGGGAAAAAGCAGCAGGAGCAGAGGGAAAGCAAACGGGGTTCCTGGGGTGTAGCAATGGCAGTGCGCCGTGAAGCAAGGTTTCCTCTATGGGGAGGCATCAGGGAGGTTTGATGGTGATGGCGGCTGGTAGGTTTTGAGCAGAATTTGCTGCAAACTAGAAGCTTCCTTTGCCAGATTTGCTCCTAATACCTGCTGCAAAACTGAGCAGAAAGCTGTTTCATGAAGGCGTTTCTGGAGGGGCTGGTGTTGGTCTCAGTCCCCAGCTTGACCACAAAGATATCTGTGCTCCAGCACCGGTGGCCCCACACCTTCCAGCTACCCTGGCCTGCAAAGACACATGCCGAGCTCCAACAGCACTGATCTGGATTTGCTTTCAGGAGAGAGATGGGTGGTCAGGGGTAGAAGGTTTCACCAGCAAACATCCCACCCCCCCTGCCATGGCCCCACTAGGCACCCCATCTCCAAAAAACGGGCCACACCTGGACTTTTTGACTGTGCTGCTCTGAACTGGAAGTCCTGTCTGGCAGGGTGTCCACCAGCCAGCAAGGTTGGCTGCCTTGCCCTGTTCCTGCTGTTCTTGGCGCCCCAGACTCATTCTGCCCGTAGCCTTGTGTATGATAGTCCAGGCCATAGCCAGCATCTCCTGCTCCCCAGAGCCCAAAGAGAAGCGGATGGGATCCTTCCTGAGGAGGCTGGGTGGAGGTCACCCCCATCTGCTGATGGCTCTTTCTCCTTCCTCTGCAGAGCCCAAGAAGCAACCGAGCTCCTGCCGGAGGATTTGCTGCAGGTGAGGCACGGGCTGGGCAGGCAGGCGTGTGCCTGCTTGTGCCTGGGCGTGGGAACCTGTCCCGTTCCTGCCTGCCATTTGCCCTGCCTGCACATCCAAGTCACGGGGCTGGGATCTGCTCATGTGCGGAGGGTGACTCCAGGACCATGGCATTAAGCGAACAGCAGGCTCCTGCCACAGGGAAGGGCTTCCCCAGCTGCTCACAGAGGGATGAATCCTGACCAGGAGCTGTGCTCCCTTTTCCCTGGACCGGGGATGCTCTGGGCTGCAGCGGGATGCTGGGCGGGCTCACCCACGCACAGAGCTGGGTGGTGGGGAGATGGCCTTGGGGCGCCCATGGTTGGCAAAAGGGCTTCCCCAGTTCCACATTTCCACCCCAGATTGAGCAGAGGATCGAGCCAGCCAAGCGAGCAGCTCACAGCGTGTCCAAGAGGCTCCAAGCCTGCCTGCAGGGGCAATGTGGCTCCGAGATGGACAAGCGAGTGGTGAGTGGAGTCCTCCCTCT